GGTTGCAAATTACCTGGTCATAAAAGGAGATGAGACTGGTAAGACAAGACCTGCCCACGATGAAGCCATGCTGGCTGTTGTTCATAATCCTACCTTCTGCAAGCGTATCACACATAGACTCCTTGATGATTTTTTTCAGGGTTTTCCCTAGGATAGAAGTTAGGCTAACTGGCCTCTAGTTGCTTGGGTCGTCTCTCTTCCCCTTGAAGATAGGCACACCTTTACTCTCTTTCAGCCTTCAGGGACCTCCCCCAAGTGCCACAAGTTTTGGAAGAGTTTCATCAGAGGTCCTGAAATGACTTTGGCTAGCTCCTTCACCCTCAGATGAAGTTTATCCAGTCCTGCTGATTTACAAATGTCTCACTTTTCTAATTGATCACACACCAGCTCAACATCAGCAGTAGGAATACGGTCATTCCCACCATGCCCATTCTGAACCTTATCTAGTATGATTTTCCCCGTAGTCTGGTGAAATACTGAAGCAAACTAGTCATTCTGGAGTTCAGTTTTCTCCTGAGTGTCGGTAACCAGCTGTCCTGAGTTGTTAAGAAGTGGCCCCATGCTTTTATTTGTTTTCCTCCTATTCCCTACATACCTAAAGAAGGACTTTTTATTGTCCTTGATTTCTGTTGCTAGTTTAAATTCAGTCACCGCTAGACTAACAATGAATGGTATTAAACCAGAACTGTTTCAGTGAAAGTCATTACTGTATAAATCTATTTACTTTTGGTCAGTTATATTTTGCTATTAATTAATTTCTGGTTCCATTTCATTTACTTAACATGAAAGTACTAACCCCTCTTTTCCACCGATAGATATCTCCTAGTTGTTAAAATAGCCACCAGAGGGAGCTCTTAATAATCCAGTGAAGACCATATGGGCCACACAGTTTGAGCACAATGCATTCCTCAGTTCATACCATTCTCTCTATACAATCGGAATTCCCTGATCATCAGAGGTGACCTATATTTTGCTTATTCAGTCCAAGACAAAATAGGAAGAATTTTCCCACGGTTTGGCTGTACATTTTGCCACAAATAGCCTACCTAACACTGCTTTTTTCTTTCTTTTTTTTTTACACTTCACATTAGAAAGAGGATTTGTGCATAACTATAGAGAATAAAGTGCTTGTTTTTAGCATTTATTTTTCCCTTGGCCTCTGTTTCCTATAAAGTTCAACCCCACAGTGTTAGGATAATGATCATTTCACCACAAAATCCCTTCCAATATATGTACATTAATACTGACCTGTGGTAAATCCAGGTACTTCAGTGGAGATCCAAGGTTAGCAGAAGACTATGGTTCTCTTTACCCAGGCAGGTGATATGACACAGAGATGGGGAATTAGACTGGAAGAGGATCTGAGCTGTATGCTCTCTGAGCTGATGGGAATACAGTAGTGGCAGCCATTGCATCTTACAGTTGGCCTGGTTTCTGCATCTGGGGGAAGTAGTAAGCCATGTTCATCTGAAGTCAAGCTAACTGAAGTTTAGTTAGTCTATGAGGTGTAAATCTACCCTGCCTTCTTACTGTGTCTGGTCATAATTAAAATCTACTGTTCTCTCTTAGCAAGCTAGATGAGGAGGGCTGGGCAGAGATCAGGAAGCAACTCCGGGAGTTCACACACACTACCCAGGTAAGATGCAAGGCAGGCTGAAAATGGGGTTATCCCCAGAAAGACCTTCTGTAGGTCACTGCCACTGTTGGCAGCTATGGTTGTTTCCAGTCCAGATGGTCTTCTACACCTAATGTGTTCTGGGTCAGTTCCCATTTTGGCAGAAGCTGTAGTGAAGCTCCATCAGGAGATAAAACCTGAGGAGTGCCAATGTAGATCACCCCACTCAGAGCCAGCAGCATTTCTACCTCCATATTACCCAGACTTGCCTTGGGCAGGTTGTTGGCATAGTGGTTAATATACCAGTGTTTGGTCTGAACCAGCGGTGAGAAATGCTAGGGAAGGAGGGCTGGGGGAGATACCTGAACACTCTTTTCAAAATGTTGTTGCCTGGTTGATGCAGACACTTTGATTGCTGCCACTTGTGGTTAAGAGGAGCCACTGCTGAATGAATTTTCACTAGTGGTCCAGTTGCCTTGTGTAAATTAGACACACCAAAGCTCAACAACGTTTTGTGGCTGTTTTTTTCTTTCTATCCCAGTCAGGAGAGATCTCACTGTAACAGACTAAGGTCACCTGGTTAGTTAACTATTCAGTATAGTCAAGGCCTGAAGCATGGGGGCAGGGGCAGTGTTCTCTGTTGGATGGAGCACTGGATTGGTTTGTCCCCTGGTTTGCTGGGTGACCCTTAGGTAAGTCCTGATACCTCAGTTTCCCTTTCTGTGAAATGGGGATGGAGACCTCTTTTGTAGCATGTTTTGAGATCAACCATGGAAAATTGGTGCATGAGAGCTATGGATTGTCATCATAGAAAAGGAAAGATCGCTCTAGAAATTGCAACCTTTGTTGCAAGGGGAGGGTGTGACATCTGGCTGTGTACATTCCAGTGCTCTGATTCTGGAAACCACACTATCATTTGCCCCACTTCTCTGCTGGAAGAGTAGGTTGTGGGTCAGAGGTGTATGCATGTGAGTGTACATGATAGGACATACTCACTTGGGTGCATGATATGACATAGAACACAGCCCCACCATGTATTCTGAGGCTGTTTATCCAAAGAGAAGGTTTTGTTTTCAGTGTCTTCCCTCTTTGGCTATCTCAGTGCAGCTGAGGGTCTCCAAGCTAGCTGCACCAGCAGGAAGTCCCGGTTTTCCTTAGCTCTGGGTTCATGTGATTTGATTTTTTTTTTTTTTATTTGGGTGTGTGGATGTTGGTCTGCCCTACAGTGAAAGTGGGCAGCTTATTTAGGTTAAGGCTAAGAAGTTTTCAGCCTGGGGGATAAATGCATGAGAGATGGAGTAGCCTTTGCTTCCATGATCATGGGGAAGGGCATTAACCCCAATATTTTACGGTTAGTGTGGCCAAAATCTGGAACAACTTACCAGGGAAGTGGTCCTCGCCCCTACCTTGGGCAAATTCAAGAGGAGGTTGGATAATCACCTGTCTGGGGTCTTGTGAACCCAGCATTCATTCCTGCCTGTGGCAGCGGGTCAGGCTAGATGATCTGTTCAGGTCCCTCCTGACCCTAGCTACTATGAAACCCCAGGTCAGTGCTTTCTCCACTGCACCCCTTGATTACCACCCCCAACACACACACACGTTTTGTCCCTGTTATTTCTGCCTGCCCAGGAAGAACTGGAGAAAGAGAGAAGCCAGCTGCTTACTCAGGCAATTGTGGCAGAAGAGCAGGTGCTGGAACTTCAGGAGTATGTGGATAAGCATCTTGCAAGGTGAGGTGGAGGGATCTGTTCATGTGCCCTTGTTTCCTATATGAGGTTTATCTTCAGGGCTAAAAAACAGAGAGCACCATGGTACCCACTGCTGTGAGATGCCTGACCTAACTGCTGCCTCCCACAGTGTAGCCCTGCTCAGCTAATGTTGGAGAGAGAATCCAGCTGTGCAAGCATTCTGGCTCTTTCAGGAGCTCAGCATGATGGAGGCAGTTGGCATCTGTCCCTTCCAGTGATATGATGTTTCCCTTCCCTGTATAGTGCATCCTACCCTGATGATGAGGAAGGCTGTGCAGATGAAGGAGGGGGTGAGTCAGCCAAGCATCCAGAAGCCTTCTCTGCTTGCACAGGATCATATATGTTATGTAGCACCCACTGACTTGTTACCCCAAGGGGGCATTTTCACAAGCATTGACAACTAAAAATGCAGGACCTGATTCAGACAAGTCATCCTGCCCTTGCATGTGGCCCAGACATCAGGTCTTGTTGCTGATGGAACTGCTTCGTTGTTTGAAAGCATGTGAAAGGTTGGGTCAAATCTAGAATTGCCATGTCCTGAGCTGTTTCCTCTCCTTGGTTACTGCTTGGGAACTTGAGGGTGTCTCATGTTGGCTTTAAAATCCACTGGTCCCCAGTAGGGCTGTGCCCAGAGCTGAGCTGGAGTTGATGGCACTTTTTCTTTGCCCCCATTGCAGGTACAAGCAGGAGATTCTAAGGTTAAGGAAACTCCTGGGGAGTGATGCACCACGAGCATTCAGTGCTGGAGCTTCTGATATTCCCTTAATGCAGAAACCCAAAAAGACCATCAGCTATGAACTGTAGCTGTTTGCTGGGGCTCCACAAGACAGGGGCCATTAGGTTTTCACAGGTGAGACAAGGATTTTAAACAGTGCCTTTCTGTTGGTCGTGTTTGCTGGGCTACATCCAGAGGTAATATACTGGGACTTACCGTCTTCCTCGTGGGGACCTCTCGGGTAGGGCTAGGATTTGCTGAGAAGGAAACTGAGTTGAGATGACAAATCATATTGAAGCTCTATGTGTTTACTCCCTCCATGCTTTGTTCTGTCCCACTTCTCTCCCTTTACCAGCCCACAAGCATTACCTACTTGTGGGAGTGCTGAGCACCAGAAGAGCACTGGTGCTGTTCCCTTGGACTGGGGCAGAAGACGGGGCTGAAAAGCAAATCCCTCATTCTGCCTTGGAGTTAGAGGTTTGCTTTCCCTTGCCTTAGCAATGCAGCAGGGTGCTGTAATACTACTCCATTCCTCTGAGACCCCACTGATTTAGGGACCTTTTCTCAACTTGAGGGAAAGGCAAGATTCTTGCTAGATTTTGGGCTTAGAAGGGTTAGACCCAGCCAAGGAGCTCAGATATTTTTGTGCAGCGGGGAGACTGAACTCCTTTGCATTCATGCATGGTGGCCCCTGTGGAGAGTGACTAGTCTATAGTGGTGATTAGCATGAGAAGAACCTAGAGGGACTCTATTATCAGAAGAAGAGCCAGAGCTGGAAGACCCACATCCTTGAGCCTCACCCAAAGGGAATTCTCAGTACAGCCTGAGGCAGGAGCGGAGACTGCCTTGCTGGGAACTGCTGTGGTTGTGGTGTGGAGGAAGCAGCCTCCAGCAAAAGTCAGAATGGAGGTTACAGAGCAAGTGGCACCAGGACTTTTATTGTTACAAAGCAAATTACAAATAAAATAACAAAACAAATTAGTTCTTCAAACCAGAAATCAAACAATAATCACCATGGATCCTGTGACAGTTCTTCAGGGATTTCCAGACTGAGTCTCGTGATTCTGGTAAGAGAGAAGGCAGTCCCCCACTCCCTGGTTAGTGAGAGACAAATTCCTGTGTGCACATATGACCCTATTCAGCATATACCCATCATAGGGCTTCTGTGAGACAGTAGTACCAGCAGGCCAAAGTAGCAGTCTCACTCCTACAGCCTCCTGATCCTTTGTTCTATGGCACCCAGGCTTTGCATTAGCTCTGGTTCTTACGCTTGGCTTCTTCAGGGTTGTTATGCTGTGCCTGCCGCACACTCTTCATGTCATAAGCCCAAATTCTGTTCAGCCCCTCCCCAACAATGCTTGTTGGTGTCCAGGCAGCAAAGGGGAAGCGTCCAGCCACCACACGGGCCTCATCTGGGAGTTCTGCGACCAGCTTGGTTGCGAGGATTGGTTGCTGGTAGGGAGGGAGAGGTGCATCACTCACAGTAGCAGACAGCCAGAGTAGTTCAGAAGGAAATAGCACCTATTTTCCCCCATGCAGAGGAATATGTAGAAACTGGCCCTTAGGGTAGCCCCCACTGAGTACAGTGGCAGCAGGTTGTCACAACTATGTGTTCACAGTAGCCTTGCTGTGGCTGACACGCATTACAGCTTGGTGTTTTAGGCTGAAATGTACATAATCTAATGGTATTTTGGTTACTGGTCTGTTATTTTACAGGGCCTTTGCTTTTTTATCAGCCTCAGGATTGTCTCTGCTCAGAAGTATCCTCCCTCACTGGCTTGCCCAACCAAGCAAGAAAATGGGAGCCATTTCGCCTGTCAGTAGCATCCTACAGCAGCCCAGGAGTAAGCTTAGACTTACCACACTGGGAGCCAGGAACACCGTCACATTGTAGCAGTCAGACAGGTTCACCTTCAAACAGACAAAGTCAGCATGAGAGGAGAAACATGAAAGGGACAACGTGTTGAAGTGGGATATAGTGGGTTTTTAGCTCTGTGTGTAAAAGGGGGTAGATCTTTGCTAGTCCATGTACAGGATGTGAAGTCCCAAGAGATTATTAATGGTAACAAAAATCAGAACTGGGGACAGGATTTGTGTGGGCAGTGGAAAGGCTGACAAAACTCTGTTGCTGGGCAAGACGGGATAATTTAAGGTGTAACTAGTAACAATCTTAGGCCCCCCAGAGTTTAGGAATGTGACCCAGCTAGTTTATCCCTACCATCCAGGCTAGTCCTAGATATCCACAGAGGTTCAGCTTTGTTATTTGAGAGGCTCAGTACATGTCCAAAGCAGCAGTTAGATCAGTAATAAAGGAGCCTCTACAGGCTGGGCCTTGTATGGCCCTGAGAAAGAATATGCGAAGGATGGAAGACATAGTTGTGCAAGACACTTTGTAGTAGTGGAAAACTTTCTTTGCCCTTTGTCAGGCTTCCTGTGGAATTTAATGGAGGGCTTCACACCTCAGTTTTTCAGCAACATCTCAGCTATGAGTTAAGGTTATGCAAAGGAGGAAGACATGGATAATCTCAGCCATAAACACTTGAGGAACCCGGAGTAGTAATTTAACATTAGTCATGGAAGAGCATGGCTAATGTGGCTTTCCTCCTTGTTTAAGGTGCTTGCAGCCATGAACAACTGGTGTCTCCCACAACTGGGGGGCACCATGGCAGCAAGTGGGGACCGCCTGCAGCTCTGCCACCAGCAGTGTTGGCAGCAGGAGGGAGGGACATGATGGGCAGTGAGTGGGGACTGCCTGCAGTCATCGGTGGCTGCGTCGGCAGTGAGACGGGGGCAGCAACCACCTGCAGAATCTAGCAATGGCCACCAATCTCAGAGGGGGCACATGCCCTCCCCCCCACGTGTTGCCTATGCTTGCAGTTGCTTAAGGAACTGAGGAGAGTGTCTAGCACGTGAGGAAATACTGGATGATGAAATTAGTACTTGATCCGTAAGGAGCAGGTCTAATAGGGAAAAGAATCCAGCACCTTCCCTCAGTTTGCTTTTGAAGGAAAATGCTGAACTTTTTGCTCCATCCTAGTTAAAGCCCTGATGTCTGGTTTGGCAGTCAGGTCACCTCGCAGCCAATGCATTTTGTGTCATGTTGAGAAAGCAAAAGTCCTGCCTATGTCCCAGAATATGTTACCTTCCACAGATCTTCCCGTTGGTAGGAAACCTTCCCATAATACCCAGCCCTCCAGGCCCGATACTTGGATAGTCCCAACAGCCAGGGGTTGAGTTCATAACCGACAGCTGGTTGGAAACCTTGTTTATAGGCCTCTAGTACCTGGAGAAAGGAATTGCAACTGAAATAAACCTCAATGTTAGATTTTGGCAGTGGTGGCTAATGGTGAATGGGATTAGAGTTGCACTGATACATCAGTCCAATACTCAATCAACACCGATATAAAGAAAATTGACTATATTGGAAATCGGCCTGATGTGGCCAATAATTTGGCTGATAAATGCCCATGTGTGCATGTAGCTGCAGCATAGCACTAAGGTGGTGAGGAGCACAGCCTGGCAGCTTGGAGAGCTGCATGCAGCTGGTAAGTTTGTTGTGGTGAAAGGGGAGGG